CCTCTGTCGGTACATACGCTGGGGGAAGAGGCTTATGCAAAAATCAAAAGGGCAGTAGCTCGATACCTCTGGAAACCTTCAGCATCTAATGATCAGGGGTTCCTCCCTAAGGTAGCGTGGGATACAATTGCTACAAGCAGAGATAAGGGGGGACTAGGAGTCCTGGACCCCGTCCAGCAGAACCTAGCCCTGCTGTGTAAGTGGGTGATAGCTGCTACCTGGGGAAACAGGTCAAATTTGTGGGTAGCTCTAGCAGAGTATATCCTAGTCTTGGAATGGGGTTTGTCTAAAGAGGAGGATGTGTGGAAATGTTTGTTTATTCCGTCTTTCTCCAACAGGCGCCCCAAATCTAGATTTTGGAGAGGTATACAACATGCATGGTTCAAATTGTTTCCTAAAGAGAGGATACAGCCTAAGTCCAGGTGGGAGGCGCTGAACCAGATAATATTTGAGAACCCACTAATCTCCCGGCCTGATGGATCGCCTTTTTTGGCAGATGGAAGTCCAGGCATATTTGGCAAGGGTTGGGTAGAGAAAGGAATTATTCAGGTGAAGGATATATGAGATACAAACAAAGCCGACTGGTTGACAGTAAGGGACATACGGCATAGACTGCCAAGGCTGCATAAAGTAGAAACAAATTTAGAACAAATTGTTGCGGCTATCCCCGCTTTCTGGGTGGGTCTGCTGAAAGGACAAATAGAAGCTCCAGCTGGCACATGGGTCCAGGACCCCGGAGACCCAGGGATCTTCTTGAAAATTTTGGGCCCGGACCTGACTCGGGGAGTGCAGGTTCAAGAATGGGCTGTAAGACCCGGTAAGAGCAAGGAAAGACCCCTGATACACAGGGGTGAGAAGATTGCCTCGCAAACAGGAGGGTATGTTGAAAGCAGAGTTTGGACTACAGATTCTACGGATAAGGCTAAAAATTTACTGTTGTTCAAAAACGCAGAAGATATAACAGTTTGGATGGCGGGGCTTAAGGGCGGCCGACTCCCTAGTACCAGCTTTTGAGTACAAAACTTAATGGGGAGTGGCAGTACAAAGCGCCAAAATCAAACGACAGCCAGAAGTAGTGGCAGCCGAACGGCATGCTCAGGTCGAAGGATTCCAGGTGGGGGCACTGGATTTGCATGGGCTCTGGAGGGCACTCAAGCTGATTCCCTCACAGAAGCAGGCAAGTCTAATGTGGCTTCAGTCACTGTTGGTGACAGCCTCAGCTATCTGGCTTGCGTCAAAGGGGATGGAAATCACGGAGGTATGCTCCAGATGTCAATGGGGATGGGAGACCACCAACTATCTCTGGTTGTACTGTCCGCTGTCCTTGCAATTGTGGGATTGGTGGAAAACACACTGGGTAATCTTCTCAGATGCAGAATTTAACTGGACACAGGAGTGGATACTGTTTGCCCACTGCTCGTCGGAAACGGACCTCACATCTGGCTGGGGATACATAGCGTTGGTCTGCAGAGGGATACTTCTGGAAGTCATCTGGAAAGCTAGAAATAAGGCATGCTTCAAATGGGAAGACTCGACATGCGCGCAACTGATAGCCTCTACTAAAAGTCGCATTAGGCTTGCTATTAGAGCCGACTGGCAACATTCTAAAGCCCACCCGTGAAAAGGGAGGGCGTGGTTCGATAAGACTTGGGCCAAAAAGGGAACTTTAGTTTCTGTGCTTCCTGACTCCAAACTGCAATTTTGCAGATGGTTGTTCCCGAATCATGAGTTAGGTGGTAATTAGGAACGCGTTAGGTCCGAATAGGTATCTCGTTTTTGGATATAGAAGTCGGGGATTGTTAGGTGGTCGCAATAGAATAAACAGTTGTAGTGGAGACGCTGTCCTTTGGAGAACAGTCCTTCCCTATTTTTTTCTTGTACGGGCGTGGGGGGTACATTGGTAGCTTGGAGAAATTGAGTTAGAGAATAGTGGCATAGGATAGTCTACAATAGTTAGGTTTACAATGCTAAGACCGTACTTTGAAATGGATGAGGGTACACCGACAGAAGCTAAACCGGTTGATGCTGCCGCGATAACTCCGGGTTGAATTGTGAGGTCCCCGACCTCA